GACTACAAAACCTCCCTAGGAAGTCCATACCAATGCCTGACAACCCTTTCAGTAAAGAAATGTTTCCTAATATCCAACCTGAACTTCCCCTGGCGCAACTTGAACCCATTACCCCTTGTCCTATCATCTGTAACTTGGAAGAAGAGACCGACCCCTGTCTCTCTACACCCTCCTTTCAGGTACTTGTACAGAGCGATAAGGTCTCCCCTCAGTCTCCTCTTCCCCAGACTGAACACCCCCAGCTCCCTCAGCCTCTCCTCGTAAGACTTGTGCTCCAGCTCCTCTCCGTGTCACTGTGTCATCTTTCCTCTTACCTCCTGGTTTTCTTGGCTGTGCCCGTGGTCCCTCCGTCCTGCTGCTTGCGCTTGGCTCCGCGTCCCTTCCCACTGCCTCCGGCAGCGATTCCCCCTGAACACAGAAACCAGGGACATCAAGCAGCTGGGGAGCAGGGAGAGCCCGTGAGCGTGGAATCTCCACAAGCAGAAAGGGGCAGAAACAGCCAAATTCAAATCAGTTCAAGAGCTCAAGTACCTTCCCCCGCAGTTATATTTGAAAATGGACTTTAGTGAAAATGACCGTAGCAAAATCCACCACTTTGACGTAGCTTCTTGTCAACTTTTGAAATGCCTAAATTTAGAGTGGAAGCTCAGTGAGATTTATCAACGAAATTAGCTGAAGATTTTAAGGTGAGAATTAAGAATCATCAAAAGGTCTCCAGAGAGCAGCATGGGGATCCACTCCAAAAGTGTTATTATTGGCTTTCGTGGAGATTCCAGTCACAGCTCCCATCTATTTCCGCAAAAGCAGCAGGAAACCCAACCTCCAGCACACACTGTCTGCTTTTAAGCAAAGTTGTCATCCCAGCGACACGCTGCGCTGGAGGAACGCTCTGACACCAACAAGCAAGAAGCACTTGACATTAAATTTCTATCTATAAAACAAAATACACCTAAGCTGAGGAAAAATGAAAAGCAATAGAGGTGTTTCTCTTCAGCATTACCAAAACCATTGCTATGATTGAAATTAAATAAAGGCAATAGAGGTGTTTCTCTTCAGCATTACCATAACCATTGCTACGATTGAAATAATAATAAAGCTATATTTAAATAAAACTATAGTATAGGAAAAGCTACACATCAAATGGAATCAAGCTATTTCCAGCGTAACGTTTTAATACGTTGAACTGAATATGCAACTTATCATTACACTATTTCAAAAAAGATGACTACTGATTTACCAGGAAAGCTATAGAATTTTCATGTACTGCAGATAAACACCTTTACAAACCACATACTGTGTCATAACTAAAAATACAGTCAGCTTTTAAATTATCAGCGTTCCCCTTAGAGCGTAAGGGACTCAAACCGTTGGAGAAATACCATATTCTGCACAAACGTGACATCATCTCGGCTGCAATCACTAGTTTTACTCCAGACACACACTTGGGCTCTCTGGTTCGTCAGCACTTATTTACCCAAACAATAAAATATCACACCAGCTCGCAGATTCAGACCACTTCTTTAGGCATTAAGATTTAAAACTACACCAGTATCAGGCCGAATCATACAAAGTAAAACCAAGCGTAAGTGAAAATAAAACTTTAAACCCGTCAAGAGTTGCAGAATATGATAATTAAAAGCTTCTAATTGCTAAAGATTAAACCGTGAAATTGTTGGTTTGTATTAAAGTATTATTGCGATCACATCAGGGCACGCTTCTGATTTTTAATTGACTTTAGCTTCCAAGATAATTGAGCAAAAAAAGCTTGGCAAACAATAATACTTAAGTTTTAGAAGCTGCAAGGTAAATATTCACCTCCCAAAGAGGCTCCACCTGTAAGAACAGAAGTGGCACCACGCGTCTGTCAGTCTTCCAGACATTAAAGAAAAAACAACCAGTGCATGAAATGGAGACAACACAACCTGAGCCATCTACCAGCCTGGTTTAAAAAGCCCCAAACACCTCCTCTCAGGGATTAACTGAATGTGTTTAACATAGAAGGGTGTAGTCTTGTGCATAAAGAAATCTCATCAGCTCTTAATATTACAGCAAGATGACTGTCACTGATCTCAGCTCGGCAGAGTCGTTAGCACAGCTGCTTTTATGCAAAAAGGAACAACAGTAAAACACCAGCAGTGATTCTAAGGACTAATATATACACGTGATCATCAGGAATAATATATACTTTCCCCAACTACTTTCAAGTCCCAGAGTGAGGGAGAAAGGAAATCTGAATAATGCAAGCAGGTAAATCAAAATCCTCATGGAAGAACACTGACAAGCTCAGCTTTCTCACAAGTGTCTCCTGCCCTGAGGAAAAAAGTTGAATTTTCACAGTGAGGTAAAATTAATCTATCTCTATAGAAAGGTACGGTGAGACTGGCTGAACTTATCTTGAACATAATACGTATAAACCCAGCACATGACAGGCTTCACTGCAGCATCTCAGCTGACGTAACTGCAGAGACACCCAGCTCTGGGGCTGGGAAAATACAGCTTAATCCCAAATACTCCAAACCCTCCTGATTAAAGAACTTGCCATTTAAGCTTCCGCTGGTGGACACAGCGTTGTTCTGTTTCTGGTTGTCATATGCAGGACCAATGTTGGCAAGATCCTGAAAAAGAAAAGAAAAAAGTCTGATGTACAGACTCAGTCAAAGCCACCACTCAAAGCCCAACCTCGGCACTTCCAGGTGTCAGGGCACCCCAAGACATCACCTGGCACAGGACCGGCTTGTGGCACAGCTTGGCCAAGTTCTGAGCATAAGCCACCAGCAAAAAGAAGCCCCAGGCCCTCCTCCCAGCTCCCCACGGCACAAAGTCCCTCCAGCCCTAATTAATTACTTGGTCTAGAAGCCCAAACTTGGGGTAATCTTCTTCTGGGTCTTTACTCCCTGGGTCCGGATGCTCCTTCACCAAGAACACATCTCTCTCTTTACACTGAAACAGAGGAGTTGTTTAAGTCACACAGGGTAAAGTCACATCACCTTCATTAGTAAGTCTTTAAATCATACTATTTACTACTAATTTCTATATCAACTCCATAATAAGCATTTCTTCACCATTCACCACAGCAGACACTTGGACCATTCACAAAAAATCCTCCATGAATTCAACTCCAAATACTTACCATGGTTTTCACAATATTATTAGGCCAAGTCATTTTCCCAGGTCTCTGTCGCGTTGTCATACACTCCCAGTATTTATCAATAAATGGGATAATATCCTGCAAAAAAAATAAATAAATAGAATTGAGCCTTAAATGTGCCAGTCTGAAAGTCTCACTGCCGATGGGTTTGAACTTGCTCTTCACTGACATCCCATCTTACACAAATCCATGATTTCTGTAACAGCCATACCTTGTCTTTTGAGAACATAGTTTTCGGGTGCTCGTCTTGTGTCCTCGACTGCCACGTCAAGTTGGCCAGAGCACTAAGGCACATTTCCTTGAGATCTTCAAAACAAAAATACACCAGAGTGGGAATTACACTTCACGAAGATCAAACACGCTCGTGCACACAGTGATTGTTACCCTCCCAGCACCCTTGTACCCTGAGTAACACTAAAACCCTCTCAAGCCCTGTCCTAACTGAACAGAAGATTTTCACAACTTTAATAAATTAACAGCAAAACAGCAGCTTTATGTCTTTAGAAAAACCTGCACCTGCTTGTTGCTAATATGGGAATTTTTAGTCATTTTCAAAAAGTTTCAGCAGATCCCTCCCACCAACTTTAAATAAAATAAAGCCTCTGAGAGTGTCTTGCACAAAATTTCAATGAATATGCTTTTACACTTACTTGCTTGTTTTCTTAAGAAATACGTGTTCCCGCTGTGATGGCAAACGTTGCAATGGAAGCTGTAGTTGGTCATGAAGGGCAGACACGACCTGGAAAAGAACATGCTATTTTTAAGCTGAAATGTAGGAACATCCACACTTCCTGCTGTGCTGGGTAAAGCTTTTGTTATTTACATAAAACACTGGTTTCCAAGCGTCCAAAGACCTGGACAGGGTCCCCGTCCTTGGGGATTTACACTCTGTGCCCTTCCGTTCCTGCTGCCCCAATTCCATGCCCAGCACCGGGCAGAGCTCACGTACGTGGTGTCGATGCCGAAGGTGTCAGCTGTGAACCACTTGGTGCAGATCCCACACTGCAGCTCTATCTCCCCCAGCTGCCGCCCGTTCTCTTCATCCACCGACCCTGCCTGGGCATCCATCACTTCGGAATTGTCCCCGGCAGCCTCCTACAACCAGAGCAGATCAGCAAACTTGGACTGGCTTAAAGACTGAATCAGACAGGAGAGAAGTTTTGTGCAGTAACCTGTCAAGACAGGAACATTCAGGGGGAATATTTTCCCCCTCTCCCCTCATAACTCCCCCCCTCTCCCAGCGAGCCCCGGCCACGCAGCCACCTACCAGGGGGTCCTTTCCGTTGGCAGACTCTGTCTCCAGAGCTGTGGTGACATCGACCAGGGCAGCATCCCCCCTGCGAGGGCAGAAACGAGTTCCTGAGGAGGGGGGGAGGTGGTCCCCATTTCGGCCCTGGCAGAACCATGTGGGCTGGAGCAGCCTAGCACAGACTGGGGCTGCCTGGCATGGACTGGGGCAGACTGGGGATGCCTGGCATGGGCTGGGGCAGCCTGGGGGTGCCTGGCCCCTGGGGCCTGGCATGGGCTGGGGCAGATTGGCCTGTACTGGGGCAGCCTGGTGTGTACTGGGGGAGCCTAGCACAGACTGGGGCTGCCTGGCATGGACTGGGGCAGACTGGGGCTGCCTGGCATGGGCTGGGACAGCCTGGGGATGCCTGGCGCCGGGGCCTGGCATGGGCTGGGGCAGACTGGCCTGTACTGGGGCAGCCCAGTGCGTACTGGGGCAGCCTAGCACAGACTGGGGCTGCCTGGCATGGGCTGGGACAGCCTGGCACGGGCTGGGGCTGACTGGCACGGGCTGGGGCTGACTGGGGATGCCTGCCCCTGGGGCGGGGGGGGGGGGGTGTCCCCATTTCGGCCCTGGCAGAGCCGTGTGGGCTGGAGCAGCCTCGCACAGACTGGGGCAGCCTGGCACGGACTGGGGCAGACTGGGGCTGCCTGGCATGGACTGGGGCAGACTGGGGATGCCTGGCATGGGCTGGGGCAGCCTGGGGGTGCCTGGCCCCTGGGGCCTGGCATGGGCTGGGGCAGATTGGCCTGTACTGGGGCAGCCTGGTGTGTACTGGGGGAGCCTAGCACAGACTGGGGCTGCCTGGCATGGACTGGGGCAGACTGGGGATGCCTGGCATGGGCTGGGGCAGCCTGGGGGTGCCTGGCCCCTGGGGCCTGGCATGGGCTGGGGCAGATTGGCCTGTACTGGGGCAGCCTGGTGTGTACTGGGGGAGCCTAGCACAGACTGGGGCTGCCTGGCATGGGCTGGGACAGCCTGGGGATGCCTGGCGCCGGGGCCTGGCATGGGCTGGGGCAGACTGGCCTGTACTGGGGCAGCCCAGTGCGTACTGGGGCAGCCTAGCACAGACTGGGGCTGCCTGGCATGGGCTGGGACAGCCTGGGGATGCCTGGCGCCGGGGCCTGGCATGGGCTGGGGCAGATCAGCCTGGACTGGGACAGGCCAGCGTGTACTGGGGAAGCCTAGCACAGACTGGGGCTGCCTGACATGGGCTGGGGATGCCTGGAATGGGCTGGGGCAGCCTGTGGCCGCCTGGTTCCAAGGCCTGGCACGGACTGGGGCACCGTGGTGCGGAGTGGGGCAGGTCGGTAGAGCCTGGCGGGGGGCAGCCTGTCCCCAGGGCCCGGCCTGCCCGGGGGAGCCCGCGCCCACGGGCTGGGGCAGCCTGGGCCCGGGGCCTGGCGTGGCCGCGACCCTCCCCGGCAGCACCGGCCGCGGACCTGGGCACCCGGGATGTCGCTGGGGCCAAAGGACCACCCGCAACCCCACGGCTCGGCGGGAAGGGCCGGGCACCTCCCGCTCCCTCAGGGTTTCCATGGC